CACCCCACCCCCCACACAACACACACACACCCACACACACACCACACCCCACACCACACACACAAACACAGTCAACAAGTCACACACACCAAAACACACATAAAACAAACGCATACAAACACACACACATCAGTCTAGAGATGTCCAGATTTACCTCATTAAAGCATACATTTATTTAAAAAAAACATATTTTAATATTTTGTTCATAATACTCTACTTTTAGTCCACATTGATCCTTTAAGCTACTGTATGATACAGCACACACTCTCATACTGACAACACCAACCCATTCACACTCACACTGACAACACCAACCCAGTCATACTCACACTGACAACACCAATCCAGTCATTCTCACACTGACAACACCAACCCAGTCACACTCACACTGACAACACCAACCCAGTCACACTCACAACACCAACCTAGTCACTCTCACACTGAAAACACCAACCCAGTCAGAGTTATACTGACAACACCAACCCAGTCACTTTCACACTGACAACACCAACCCAGTCAATCTCACATTGACAACACCAACCCATTCACACTGACAACACCAACCCAGTCACTCTTACACTGACAACACCAACCCAGTCAATCTCACACTGACAACACCAACCCAGTCACTCTCACACTGACAACACCAACCAATTCACACTTACACTGACAACATCAACCCAGTCACTCTCACACTCATACTGACAACACCAACCCAGTCACACTCATACTGACAACACCAACCCAGTCACAGTTTTACTCACAACACCAACCCACTAACACTCATACTGACAACACCAACCCAGTCACACTCACACTCACAACACCAACCCAGTCACACTCAACCTGAGAACACCAACCCATTCACATTCATACTGACAACACCAACCCAGTCATACTTATACTGACAACACCAACCCAGTCACACTGACAACACCAACCCAGTCACAGTTACACTGACAACACCAACCCAGTCATACTCATACTGACAACACCAACCCAGTCACACTCACACTCACAACACCAACCCAGTCACACTCACACTGACAACACCAACCCAGTCACACTCACAGTGACAACACCAACCCAGTCATACTCACACTGACAACACCAATCCAGTCATTCTCACACTGACAACACCAACCCAGTCACACTCACACTGACAACACCAACCCAGTCACACTCACAACACCAACCTAGTCACTCTCACACTGAAAACACCAACCCAGTCAGAGTCACACTGACAACACCAACCCAGTCACACTCACTCTGACAACACCAACCCAGTCACTCTCACACTGACAACACTAACCCAGTCACTCTCAAACTGACAACACCAACCCAGTCACTTTCACACTGACAACACCAACCCAGTCAATCTCACATTGACAACACCAACCCATTCACACTGAAAACACCAACCTAGTCACTCTTACACTGACAACACCAACCCAGTCAATCTCACACTGACAACACCAACCCAGTCACTTTCACACTGACAACACCAACCCAGTCAATCTCACATTGACAATACCAACCCATTCACACTGACAACACCAACCCATTCACACTTACACTGACAACATCAACCCAGTCACTCTCACACTGAAAACACCAACCCAGTCACTCTCATACTCAAACTGACAAAAACCAACCCAGTTCACACTCACACTGACAACACCAACCCAGTCACACTTTTACTCACAACACCAACCCAGTCACACTCATACTGACAACACCAACCCAGTGACACTCACACTAACAACACCAACCCAGTCACTCTCACAATGACAACAGCAACCCAGTCACACTCACAATGACAACACCAACCCAGTCACACTCACACTTACAACAGCAACCCAGTCACAATCACAACACCAACCCAGTCACACGGACAACACCAACCCAGTCACACTCTACTGACAACAGCAACCCAGTCACACTCACAACACCAACCCATTCACACTCACACTGACAACATCAACCCAGTCACACTCACACTGAGAACAGCAACCCAGTAACACTCACACTCATACTGACAACACCAACCCAGTCACACTGACACTGACAACACCAACCCAGTCACAGTTTTACTCACAACACCAACCCAGTCACACTCATACTGACAACACCAACCCAGTCACACTCACACTGAGAACACCAACCTATTCACACTCACACTGACAACACCAACCCATTCACATTCACACTGACAACACCAACCCAGTCACACTCACAACACCAACCCAGTCACACTCACATGACAACACCAACCCAGTCACAGTTACACTGACAACACCAACCCAGTCACACTCATACTGACAACACCAACCCAGTCACACTGACAACACCAACCCAGTCACACTCACAGTGACAACACCAACCCAGTAAAACTCACACAGACAACATCAACCCAGTCACACTCACAAAAGCAACCCAGTTATACTGACAACACCAACCCAGTCACACTCACATTGACAACACCAACCCAGTCACACTCACAGTGACAACACCAACCCAGTCACACTCACACTGACAACACCAACCCAGTCACACTCACAACACCAACCTAGTCACTCTCACACTGAAAACACCAACCCAGTCAGAGTTACACTGACAACACCAACCCAGTCACACTCACTCTGACGACACCAACCCAGTCACTCTCACACTGACAACACTAACCCAGTCACTCTCACACTGACAACACCAACCCAGTCACTTTCACACTGACAACACCAACCCAGTCAATCTCACATTGACAACACCAACCCATTCACACTGAAAACACCAACCCAGTCACTCTCACACTGACAACACCAACCCAGTCAATCTCACACTGACAACACAAACCCAGTCACTTTCACAACACAAACCCAGTCAATCTCACATTGACAATACCAACCCATTCACACTGACAACACCAACCCAGTCACTCTTACACTGACAACACCAGCCCAGTCAATCTCACACTGACAACACCAACCCAGCCACTCTCACACTGACAACACAAACCCATTCACACTTACACTCACAACATCAACCCAGTCACTCTCACACTGAAAACACCAACCCAGTCACTCTCACACTCAAACTGACAACACCAACCCAGTCACACTCACACTGACAACACCAACCCAGTCACAGTTTTACTCACAACACCAACCCAGTCACACTCATACTGACAACACCAACCCAGTGACACTCACACTAACAACACCAACCCAGTCACTCTCACAATGACAACAGCAACCCAGTCACACTCACAATGACAACACCAACCCAGTCACACTCACACTGACAACACCAACCCAGTCACAATCACAACACCAACCCAGTCACACTGACAACACCAACCCAGTCACACTCTACTGACAACAGCAACCCAGTCACACTCACAACACCAACCCATTGACACTGACAACACCAACCCAGTCACCCTCACACTGACAACACCAACCCAGTCACACTCACAACAGCAACCCAGTCACACTCACACTGACAACACCAACCCAGTCACACTCACACTGAGAACAGCAACCCAGTAACACTCACACTCATACTGACAACACCAACCCAGTCACACTCACACTGACAACACCAACCCAGTCACAGTTTTACTCACAACACCAACCCAGTCACACTCATACTGACAACACCAACCCAGTCACACTCACACTGAGAACACCAACCTATTCACACTCACACTGACAACACCAACCCATTCACATTCACACTGACAACACCAACCCAGTCACACTCACAACACCAACCCAGTCACACTCACATGACAACACCAACCCAGTCACAGTTACACTGACAACACCAACCCAGTCACACTCATACTGACAACACCAACCCAGTCACACTGACAACACCAACCCAGTCACACTCACAGTGACAACACCAACCCAGTAAAACTGACACAGACAACACCAACCCAGTCACACTCACAGTGACAACACCAACCCAGTCACACTAACACTGACAACACCAACCCAGTCACACTCACACTGACAACACCAGCCCCGTCACACTCACACTGATCAACACCAACATAGTCACACTCATACTGACAACAGCAACCCAGTCACACTCATACTAACAACATCAACACAGTCACACTCAGACTGACAACACCAACCCAGTCACACTCACAACACCAACCCAGTCACACTCACACTGACAACAGCAACCCAGTGACACTCACACTAACAACACCAACCCAGTCACACTCACAATGACAACAGCAACCCAGTCACACTCACACTGACAACACCAACCCAGTCACACTCACACTCACACTGACAACAGCAACCCAGTCACACTCACAACACCAACCCAATCACACTCACACTCACAACAGCAACCCAGTCACACTCACAACACCAACCCAGTCACACTGACAACACCATCCCAGTCACACTCACACTGACAACAGCAACCCAGTCACACTCACAACACCAACCCAGTCACACTGACAACACCAACCCAGTCACACTGACAACACCAACCCAGTCACACTCACAACAGCAACCCAGTCACACTCACACTGACAACACCAACCCAGTCACACTCACACTGACAACAGCAACCCAGCAACCCAGTCACACTCACAACACCAACCCAATCACACTCACACTTACAACAGCAACCCAGTCTCACTCACAACACCAACCCAGTTGTACTGACAACACCAACCCAGTCACACTCACACTGACAACAGCAACCCAGTCGCACTCACAACACCAACCCAGGCACACTGACAACAGCAACCCAGTCACACTCACACTGACAACACCAACCCAGTCACACTCACACTGACAACAGCAACCCAGTAGCACTCACAACACCAACCCAGTCACACTGTCAACACCAACCCAGTCACACTCACACTGACAACACCAACCCAGTCACACTCACAACAGCAACCCAGTCACACTCACACTGACAACACCAACCCAGTCACACTCACACTGAGAACAACAACCCAGTCACACTCACACTGACAACACCAACCCAGTCAGGCAGAATCTGGTGAGGTACATAAAGTTGACATTAAAGGAGATTAGATCTTCACCTTCATTGACGTCATCATTCTCTCTGTCAACCTGAGCCTTCAGAACATAACGCTTAATGAGACGCTTCATGATCTTCTGCAGTATGACAAAGAGGAGAGATGGATGAGGGGAGAGGAGGATGGGAGGAGAGTGCAGAGAGGTGAGAAAATATGAAAGGGAGAGTAGAGGCGGAGAGGAGAGAGTTGGAGTTATGAAAGCTGAAAGTAATGTTTAAGCACACCACGGTTATTATAGTAAACTAAAACTGAAACTAAAACTAATCATGAAAAAACTGCTCAGCAAATGGAAATAAAATAATTAACAAACCCGTTTGAAAAACTAAAACTATACTTAAACTATTATCTTTGACCCCAAAATGAACTAAAATAAAATAAAAACCCATTACGAATTATGTTATTTTTATATATTTTTTTTCTTTGGGCAAAACTCTAATGGGGTTTTCAAGCTCCTGAATGTGGTGGGTAATGTGGCCAGGAGATGGTGATGTTTCAAAAATGCCTCGCTTGTTCATCACTATCATTAGCTATCATTAGCTATCATTAGCTATCATTAGCTATCATTAGCTATCATTAGCTATCATTAGCTATCATTAGCTATCATTAGCTATCATTAGCTAACAGGGAAAAAAACCTGCTAAAGATAAAAAGCATTGGATTGGTGTAAACATTGGCGAGAGAGAGTTTCCTTCCACCATATTTTTTGCACCAGTCTTGGCGCTATTCCTTTTAAATCCAAGTCACATCGAGATTGATTTGATAATTTAAACATAACCTAACCTTAGCCTGAGAACCCATACAGCCATAGGGTTCTTATTTGGAACAATTGACCACAGCAGGGCAACTATACCGACACTTTATCTACAAGTTAATAATTACCACAGGCAATACACTTTTGGAAACCCCCGGAATTCTACTTTCATATGAACCTTGAACACTCAACTTAATTATCACCCAAAAATAACTTTACAAATACAAAAGATACACTTAGTATGCGTGTTTATCTCAAAGATTCCAACGGAGGTTTAGCATGGCACTTCCTGAGCTAATAGAAACTCGGGAGGGAACAAAAAAAAACGATCAGCTCAAAGCTGTGTTACACAAAAACCTCTGTGGAAATCTGTGGTAAAACAGTTAGTGTATCTTTTGTAAAGTTATTTTGGGATGATAATTAAGTTGAGTGTTCAAGGTTTCCAAAACCATATCGCAATAACGGATAAATTGTTTCTAGACAGATCAATTGTTTTCTTGACCAAATTACCAGCCAATCAAAATGGATGTGGAATGACTCCGACGTAGCATTGGTGTCATGAGAAGGCCTAACCTAACCTATGACCTGACTCATCACCTTATGTATTACTGCCCCCAGTTGGAAGAAGAAAAATTAAAAAAAACACACAAAACTATACCACACAAATGGCACCTAGCCTCTCACACTTTCTGTCCCAAACACTAAAACTAAAACTGAAATTAAATAATATAAAAACGAAATATAAATATTTGTATACAGCTATACTAAATAAAACTAATATAAAAACACAAAACTATAATAACCTTGAAGCAGTGGTGGAAAAAGTACCCAATTGTCATACTTGAGTAAAAGTAAAGATACCTTAATAGAAAATAACTCAAGTAAAAGTGAAAGTCACCCAGTAAAAATGACTTGAGTAAAAGTAAAAGTATTTGGTTTCAAATATACTGAAGTATCAAAAGTAAAAGTAAAAGTATATTAAGCAAACCAGACAGAAACAATTTTCTATTTTTTCTTATTTACGGATAGCGAAGGGCACACTCCAAATCATTTAGAAACCATTTGTGTTTAGTGAGTCCGCCAGATCAGAGCCAGTATGGATGACCAGTGATGTTCTCTTGGTAAGTGTGTACATTTGACAATTTTCCTGTCCTGCTAAGCATTCAAAATGTAACAAGTACTTTTGGGTGTCAGGGAAAATGTATGGAGTAAAAATTATATCCTTTTCTATAGGAATGTAATGAAGTAAAAGTAAAAGTTGTCCCAAATATAAATAGTAAAGTAAAGTACAGATACCCCCAAAAACTATTTAAGTAGTAGTTTAAAGTATTTTTACTTAAATACTTTTACACCACTGCATGCAGACGCCTTAAGACCTACTCTCTGGGAACCCGTCAATACCTGTAGCCCTGCGAGCATTACATACACACTCACTGTGAGAAGCTGGCCTGACATACCAAATGCAGTGTGTGTGTGTGTGTGTATTGATGTGTTTGTGTGTGTGTGTCAGGAGAAAGGCTTTTATAGAGAAGCAATATCATGTGTGAGAGACACAATAGAATGACCTCTCACGAGGAAGAAAGAAGATTTCCCATAGTGCAAAGGTGGAGGACAGAAAGACCTTCCCTCATTCCATTCCATCTATTGTCCCCATTCAGTCACTCACTCCCCACTCCTTTACTGGGCCATTACCTGCTTCCATTCACTCCATTTCTCGGTACCACGTTAAACCGATATGCAGTCGGTCTCAACATCCATCCGTCTCACTGACTGTCTATTTCTCCATAGCTCTCTCGTTCTCTTTCCTTCTGTGCCCCGTATTCCCCTCTGACGTTTTCTCACCTATTACCCTCCCCTCCTACACCCCTTACCCACTTTCTTTCTTTGTCTGTCTGTCTGTCTGTCTGTCTGTCTGTCTGTCTGTCTGTCTGTCTGTCTGTCTGTCTGTCTGTCTGTCTGTCTGTCTGTCTGTCTTTCTTTCTTTCTTTCTTTCTTTCTTTCTTTCTTTCTTTCTTTCTTTCTTTCTTTCTTTCTTTCTTTCTTTACCTGGTATCTGGTAGGGTGTTTGATGGGTTTTCTGAGAGTGGACTCCTCTCGTGGTCGACCGTGGGCCCTGTAGCGTTCGCCCTGTAAAAACACAACATGAGTTATATGTTATATTTAATCCTGTGGTGCAAACATGATTCCTGTGATCTTGGAATAATGTGTATTGTGATGTACTCTGCTGTGCTAACTCTACTGTGCTAACACTGCTGTGCTAACTCTGCTGTGCTAACTCTGCTGTGCTAACTCTGCTGTGCTAACTAACAGTGACCTGGTTTTATTGTCCTCTTTTAGCTTTACTTAGTGCCCTTCAAGTCCTTATTTTCATTTTGGCAGGAGATACGCTCAGACACACACACACAGCTCTGGGGCTCCTAAAGGCTGCCAAGTTTGGCATTGTCAGTGGCATGGCAAGACAAGACGTGGCACCAAACTGCAATGGCTCCTGAAACCCCAGACAGACACACACACACTAACCCATGCACGCACGCACGCACACACACAGACACACACATGCCTGAATGCACGCACATACAAAGACACACACACACACAAACTCACATGACATTTTGCACATTTTCCAGAGGTGTAGTGTGAGTCTATATATCGATTGCTCACCTCCTGCTCAGTTCTGTTCCATAGTGAAGCCATCGGGTCTCTCTCTACCCATGAAGGCAGTTCTAAATACATCCTGAAGCATTTGAATAACATGTAACTGCCAAAATAAAGGAAACACCAACACAAAGTGTCTTAATAGGGCGTTGAGCCACCACGAGCCGCCAGAACAGCTTTAATGCGCCTTGGCATAGATTCTACAAGTGTCTGGAACTCTATTGGAAGGATGCAACACAATTTTCCATGAGAAATTCCATAATTCGGTGCTTTGCTGATGGTGGTGGAAAACGCTGTCTCAGGCACTGCTCCAGAATCTCCCATAAGTGTTCAATTGGGTTGAGATCTGGTGACTGAGACACACACACACACACACACACACACACACACACAAACACATGGACAAACACACACACACTGTAAACCCCTTATGCTACTTTGAGACCCCTCTTTCAAAGTCACTTTGATCTCTTCTTCTAACTTTCCTCCCTGGAGGTTCAGCTGTGCCTTGGCAAGACAGCTTTACCAAGGATCAAATTCTCACCTGGTATTCCAATAAGGTAAACAACAAAACACTGTTTTTAAATGTCTTATCGTCTTATTATGAAAATAGCTTTGTATCAGATCAAACACCTACTAGCATCTACAATATCTATTGACACAATTAGGGTTTGACTTTTTACCTTTGCCCTCTCCCCTCTGGCCTTCAGTCGTGAGTTGAGCATGCCCATCTCCAGCTCATTGTCGTGGCGAAGGCCCTTGGCATTGCAGAGGTGAACGAGGCCGGCCTTGGTGCGGAGGACCAGGTAGTACCAGGACTTGGGAGAAGGCACCATGTTGAAGGGAGCGGGGAGAGTACGGCCCTCGTCAAAGTAGGACATCCACAGCTTGGCACGGGCAAACTTCCACTCTACATCTGCATCTGTCTGGAGGAAACAAACACGTGTAGAAATGGACACAAACAAACAAATGCATGCACACACGTTAACACACACATATTGGTTGCAGCATTGTACAGGCATGTCGGATTAACAATATTTCACAATAAATATACTGTACGTTGCTTTGGATAAACATGTCCTAAATTAACAGGACCCTATTAGGATTACACATTTACATGCAAGATTGAATAATTCCTGATGAATAAGTTATTAATAGGACTGACCTCTATATGAATGAGTTATTAATAGGACTGACCTCTATATGAATGAGTTATTAATAGGACTGACCACTATAGGAATTAATTATTAATAGGACTGATCTCTATATGAATGAGTTCTTGATAGGACTGACTTCTATATGAATGAGTTATTAATAGGACTGACCACTATAGGAATTAATTATTAATAGGACTGACCTCTATATGAATGAGGTTTTAATAGGACTGACCTCTATATGAAGGGGTTATTAATAAGACTGACCTCTAAATGAAGGGGTTATTAATAGGACTGACCTCTATATGAAGGGGTTATTAACAGGACTGACCTCTATATGAAGGGGTTATTAACAGGACTGACCTCTATCTCCTGGTAGGAGCTATTGATCATAGCGATGAGCATGTTGAGTAGAACCACCACCATGGTGACGTTATAGACCCCGTACAGCACATAACCAATGTTCTCTATGAACTTATGGTCATACTTCAGGACCACAGAGATCACCTCCGACAGACCGAAGATGGACCAGAACAGGGTCTTAAAGCTCTCCTCCACCCTGGGGAAGCGCACACACACACACACACACACACACACACACACACACACACACACACACACACACACACACACACACCAGGTGAGTCTTTAAACCAGAGTATGATGTTCTTTTATTAGAGTTTATGAGCTGGCCCTGATGAATTAGCTGATGAGTCATGTCCAGTTCTAACACATTATCCTCCCACCAGGACAGCTCAATAAAGGCCAATTCTCCTTTCACATTTTGGAACAGATCACTAAGAGGATATTCCTGCAATTTATAAGCTCAGAATTCAGGCTGAGTCCAGCCCAGCCCAGCCCAGCCTAGTCAAGTCCTGCTTTTAGCCACAGTGCTCTAGCTAACTCTCTGGCTGAGGGGCTTTTGAACAAGCAAAACAACCACTGAGCCTAAAGAACACAGACATTTGGCCTCAGTTCTGTAAATACATATTCAATAAGTGGCAGAGCTGGAGGAAGGGAGGAGAGATGTTGACTGAAGGCCTGTGTGTGTCCTTTCCTCTTTCAGAGCTGAGAGCACACACACACAACCACACGTCCTCAGCAGTGAAGTTTACTGGTATCTCCTCAGAGTGAACTTCTTATCTTTCCCGAGAAGACAGGAAAACACTTCTTAACTTCCAAGAACACAGACATTGATAAGTAGAGACTGAGAGCTAGTCATATCTCTAATCTCGGCTATCTCGTCTTCCTATCTCTCGGAATCTATCGCTCTCGCTCCTCTATATCATCTCTCCTCTCTCTCTGCTCTCTATCTTCGCTCTCTCTCTCTGCTGCGCTCGCTCTCGCTCTCTCCTATCTCTCTGTCCCATGAGATGCAAATAAACTGTGTAGTTATACAATAAGCGTCAAGCCAAACATCTCTCATCACTTAGCAATATCTCCAGTATCATCTCAATATACTGCAGGACCCAGTACGCACAGGATATTATCTCTCTAGAAGGACAGCGTTCTCATGTGGAACAGTATTCATATCACCATATGACAGGCCATGCATTGATCCCTGTGAATGTTTATTGATTTCAAGTTCCTCTGACCCAGGGGTCACATGACAAACGTCCGTATGAAGGCGTGATACTCAACCCATCACTAACGTCCTTGTCAATACCCACGACTCTATTTAGAAATGGATTGACATATTATTAGGCAGGGAAATGGATTTAAATATTATTAGGCAGGGAAATGGTTAGAAATGGATTTACATATTATTAAGCAGGGAAATGGTTAGAAATGGATTTACATATTATTAGGCAGGGAAATGGATAGAATGGATTTACATATTATTAGGCAGGGAAATGGATAGAATGGATTTACATATTATTAGGCAGGGAAATGGTTAGAATGGATTTACATATTATTAGGCAGCGAAATGGTTAGAATGGATTTACATATTATTAGGCAGCGAAATGGATAGCAAAGGATTTACATATTATTAGGCAGGGAAATGGATAGAAATGGATTTACATATTATTAGGCAGGGAAAGGGATATAAATGAATTGCTAATAGAAGTTTATGACAGAAACACTGACATCCCCACTCGTCTGCAGAGATATACAGTAGTGTTCTCTCTTGATGATTTCTCTGTCTAACCTCTCATCACCCACTGTGAACAATTCGGTCAGTCGCCGCATCCCACTACGCTTCCTATTCACACAGAGAGCAGCTCAGTGGATGTGGGCACCGGGTGGGGATCCGTCATTAAACACTTCTGTCTAGTTCCCTAACGGCTGGTCACAGCAGGTGCCTTCAGAGACACAGCAGGCCTTCAGGAGACCCTCAGGAGAACACCTCACTGACAGGAAGGAGGGTGGGAGGAATACAAGACACCAGTAACAGGCTAGTAGTGTCTTCTCTCCCCACTGTTCTCCAACCACCCTAGGACAGGCTGTCAGGATATGAGCTGTCACAAACACATATGCACGCAAGCATGCACAAAAGAACACACACAGGCGTGCACACACACACAAAAAAGAACACTGGTGTGGTGACTCACCTCTACCGTGTGTGAGCAGTCCGAACCCTGCTCCTCTGCTCCCTCAGGAGACACATGAACAAAAGTAGGTTGGGTTTCTCGTTATCTAACTTTTTTTCCCTTTTTTAAATTTTTTTTAGGGATACATTTTAAGTGGGGAAAGAGACTTCTATGGGCTATATCAGGAGTAAAACGAAAAATTATCTCTATCTCTCAATTTTCTCTCTTTTCTTCATAGTAGTTCTTCTATCTCTCTCTCCTCTCCTCTTTCTCTCTCTCTCTCTCTCTCTCATTGAAATTATTATGTTCTTGACTGGCATGACTGATAATGACACATCCGCAATCACATATCCATAGGAGTTAATAACCACTCCCCTTCACTCAGATCCCTCTCTTTCTCAACCTATATATCACTCTCAAACTCTCCCTGCCATCTCTCAACCTCTATATCACTCTCAAACTTCCCTGCCATTTAAACCCTTGATCACTCTCAAACTCTCCCTGCCATCTCTCAACACTATATCATCAACTCTCAAACTCTCCCTGTCATCTCTCAACCTCTATATCACTCTCAAACTCTCCCTGCCATCTCTCAAACCTATATATCACTCTCAAACTCTCCCTGCCATCTCTCAACCTATATATCACTCTCAAACTCTCCCTGCCATTCTCAACCTCTTGTATCAACTCTCAAACTCTCCCTGCCATCTCTCAACCTATATATCACTCTCAAACTCTCCCTGCCATCTCTCAACCTCTATATCACTCTCAAACTCTCCCTGCCATCTCTCAACCTATATATCACTCTCAAACTCTCCCTGCCATCTCTCAACCTCTGTATCACTCTCAAACTCTCCCTGCCATCTCTCAACCTCTCAGTCGCTCTCTCCTTTTTTCCTTCTCTCACTCATGTTATTTTTGTATATGGCCTTAGCTTGACGTATGTCCCTTTCTAGCCCACACGAAACTGGATTCCGTACCACCAGCCCTATTTACGTCTCCATCTTATTCACCTCTCTCTATATCATTCTCATCTCTTTATCTCTCCACTCTTCACTCTGCCTCTCTCCATCACAAAACATGATAATATCTCACAGTTTTTTGGTTTTGCGCTCTCGCTCATTCATATTTTCCTCCATGTCTGTGCACAGATGCATATCTTGATTTGATCATCCTGTTGTTGCAGGAATTTTCCTGCACAGTAGGAAATGCAAACTTGTAGTGTTTTCGAGGTTTTAAAAAGCTTCTAAAATGTGTCATTTTCACTTTAAAATTGATTTGTCCTAACAAAAAAATTATCAGCCCCTACAGATGTCCATGAATTATAATCCACATAATAATTCACATTTCCTATTGCTGCAGGATTATTTTCCTGCTTTGATAAACTCGGTCAAATTAGGATACAAGCATCTGTATGTCTCTCTCTTTCTTCCTCTCCCTCTTTCATTTCCTCTCTCTCCTCTCCTCTCCTCTCCTCCCATGTCTGTGGCTCTGGCCTGTTTCCCTCACTGAGCCCACACAAACAGGCCAGCCAAGAATACTCCTCTGCTGCTCTCTTTCTCCCTCTAGTCTCTCCTTCTAGTCTCTCCTTCTCCCTCTATCCTTCTCCCTCTAGTCTCTCCTTCTCCCTCTAGACTCTCCTTTCCTCTAGTATATCCTTTTATCCTTAGTTTCCCCTTCTCCATATTCTTTCATCTTCATCCTTATCCTCTATCTTTCCCCTCTAACTCCTCCTTCTCCCTTAGTATCTCCTTCTCCCTCTAGTTACCTATCTCCTCTAGTCTCTACCTTCTCCCCTAGTCTCTCCTTTCCCTCTAGTACTCTTCCCTCTAATCTCTTCCTTAGTCTCTATCCCTTAGTCTCTCTCTCCTTCTAGTCTCTCCTTCTCCCTCTAGTCTCTCCTTCTCCTTCTAGTCTCTCCTTTACCTTAGTCTCTCTTACTCTACTTCTCTTAGTTCTCTTATCCCTTAGTCTCCTTCTCCTTAGTCTCTCCTTCTCCTCTATCATCTCTACTCTATCCTTCTCTTCCCTCTAGTCTCCTTTCCCTCTGTCTCTCCTTTCTCTGTCTCCCTTCTCCTTATATCTCTATCATCTAGTCTCTCCTTCTCCCTCTAGACTCTCCTTCTCCCTCTAGTCTCTCCTTCTCCTCTAGTTCTCTCTCTAGTCCCTCTAGTCTCTCCTTCTCCTTCTAGTCTCTCCTTCTCCCTCTAGTCTCTCCTTCCCTTCAGTCTCCTTTCCCTACTAGTCTTCCTTTCCATCTAGTCTCTCCATCTCCCTCTAGTCTCTCCTTCTCCCTCTCTTCTTCTCTCTCTATAGTCTCTCTATCCCCTCTCTCCACTCCATACTCATTCCTCCTTTCCTCTTCCTCCTCTAGCCTTCATCAGTCTGTGCAGCATTTGTCACGCATGGCTGACTAGAACATAGAGACAGGCCTACTGCTTCTCCAGAGGTGCCTAGCTGAAAATCCTCATAACCTGCAGTGTGTGTGTGTGTTTGAGAGAGAGAGAGAGAGACTGAGTGAGTCAGTGAGTGAGTTTGTTTCTGAAGGCCAGAGTAATAGCCATAAGGGCCTACATTTTTCATTAAACTTTCTCCAGCTCAACAGTCTAAACCATTTAGCCAGCCTCCAGAGACCCCCCTTCACCCTCTCCCTGGCACCCACTAAGCATGCCTCCTCCTGGGGTATCATTATCACTGCCACCTGCCTCCATCACCACCAGAGCCATCAAACCAGCCCTCGCTACCATCCTCCATCAAAACCTGCCTTGTCAACTATACTCAATCACACAGAGCGATAACAGACACACACACGTATGCACACACACACACACACACACACACACACACACACACACACACACACACACACACACACACACACACAAACACACACACAAACCTTAGTCATACAGCAGCATAGAAATGATTGATGGAATGTATGTCAACACCTTCAAATACAGACACACTCAACTGTTACTGGCTTTTTCTGATGCAAGCTGAGTCAGAATTGCAGTCATACTGACCCCTTGTGGCATGAGTGACAACTTTTCAATAGAATAATTCACTCATAACAGCTCACAACACTAGCAATTCAAGCAGGAAAAATATTTGTGGAAAAATATCAGAGACAAATCCCAACTATGTTTCAAGGCAACGTCAAGCTTTCTTATTCCAGACTGATCTAACTTGTGTATGGGTAGAAAAACATAAACAGTTACAACACTGTTGTAACTAATCGGGCCTTAGAGTCCAAAATAGAGCCCTGACACTGAGTATCCGCTGTGGGGGAGTAGAAGTGATGAGTCAGCCTAAGAGCTTTTATACCAGTACCGCCTCAGCAGACTGGTGGTTCTATGTGATCAGCCACGCAGAACCCATCCCAGATGCCACGGTTCTCTACGGTTCTACTTCACTACACACAGACGGACAGAACAGAGGAGTTCTCTAACTCACAACTTAAAACAGACTGACTGACAGATGGACAGACTGACTGACCGACAGACTGACTGACAGGCAGACTGGTCTCAAAACCCATTAGCAAAGTGACTAAAAGATGATTGAGTGGAAAGTTTCAGTCTGAGTCATATGACACAGGAGAGGAGATAGGAGAGGAGAGAAGGGAAGATAACTGACAGTGTCTGAATGAGTGTGCCTTCTCTCTCTAAGATAAATGATGACAAATGGTTCCTAAATGAGCCTGCCTCAGGATAAAGATTATTGACATCCCTTTGCGACGTTGCTAAAAACAACAGACAGACATTGAATTTAGCCTGTCATCACTGATGTGAAAGGACTAGCAAGATTCCAGAAAACATTATGGTGGATTTCTACTAATAAACTGGACAGAGATGTAGCCAGACACTGCTTTCACCTGTTCTTTCAGAAGAGAGCTTTGAAAGAAAGGTGACCTTTAGGGATTCGTCTAGTGTCTTTCCTAAATGTTTGGCCAAAAGAAAGTAAGGCTGAGTTTCTCTCTACACGCTAATACGGTGGAGAGTGTATGTGAACAGTATGTCAGTGTGAAGTGGAGAAGCTAGGGTTGTACTTGGCTCCTAGGTAGTAGGAGTAGAGGTTGAACATGCATGTGTGTGTGTGTGTGTGTGTTCCTGTGTGTGTGGTCCCACTCACGTGGTGAAGGCAGGGTTGTACTTGGCTCCCAGGTAGTAGGAGTAGAGGTTGAACATGCCGATCATGAAGGCCACGAACACCATGATGAAGATGACCATGAACTTAAAGATGTCCTTCACCGTCCGGCCCAGGGAGATCTGGAGCGGGCCAAAGCTCTCGTTGGCCGGCAGGATGTAGGCGATGCGGGAGAAACTTAACACCACAGCGATGGCATACAGACCCTCTGAGATTATCTGGGGGTCCGACGGACGCCACTTATTCCTGGCTGAGAGAGGGAGGGGAGGGGGAGGGAGAGAGGAGCCTGATCAGTAGAAACAGACTTCAATTTCGGACGTGCAAACTCATGATCCTCGGCGCCGAAGAGTGCTGCTCAGACCACAGCGCTACGGCAGTTCACAATGATCTGGCAAGCCACGAGAATACTAAGAATACTGATGATACCTGATAGTAATAGTGTGTCATTTTTAATTACTTTGTACTAAGCCATCCCTAAACAATAGCCCTAACCTTAACCCCTCGGAATTAATGCTTAAACTGTTCAACTTTGAGTTGTTTCTGTTTTAACCCTGTAACCATGTGGAATTAACCCTGTAAACACGTGGAATTAATGCGGCAAAAATAAACGTTCATTCATAATACATCACATTTCTAAGGGAAGCTATGAGATCTTGTTGGGAGAGAGATAGTTGAAAGTGAATGTAATTTAAAGGTAGGTGAAAGGAGAAGGGATAAGGGAGAGAGAAAAATGGATGGAGATGCATGGATTAGAGGGACAGGGAGAGAGAGATATAGAGAGTGAGAGAAGAAAAGAGAAAGCAAAACATGAATGAGAAACAGAGAGACGAACAGGAGGGAGAAAACATGAGAGAGAGGATGGTGAAGAAGTAGCCAGAGAAGAGAGAGAAAGTGAGAGAGGATGGTGAAGAAGTAGCCAGAGAAGAGAGAGAAAGTGTGAGAGAGAGAGGATGGTGAAGAAGTAGCCAGAGAAGAGAGAGAAAGTGAGAGAGAGAGAGAGAGGATGGTGAAGAAGTAGCCAGAGAAGAGAGAGAAAGTGAGAGAGAGTGTGAGAGATGAGAGAAGATAGAAACAAAGAGTAGAAGAGATTCTGAAAAGGACAAATGAAAGGAATAATGAATGGACAAATGAATGGACAAATGAAAGGACAAATGAAAGGATAAATGAAGCACCAATGAGCTGCGTCCTCTCATTAGGAGTTGTTTGAAGATGGGGGAGAATAAACTCTTAAGGGAATATTGGACAACTTATAGCACCAGAGTGGTTCAATACAAAGGCTTTGTTTACGCATAAGCACTTTGTTTTTATTCTTTGAAAAATACTTCCTCATTTCAAAACCACCAGGAGAGATAAACACAGACGTATACAGACAACTACCAGGGCTTTGGGGTGTGTGACTGAGTGCGTCATTGTGTGTTGGCTGTTTCAAAGTGTTTATGTGTAAATAGTGGGGAGGGTAGCATATGCGTGTGTATGCAGACTGCATAGCAGCTTACTGTAAACAGCCGTTGTCATAACAACCTCACACCAGAAGATGACGGCAGTGATTAGGGACCTTGAGCAGTGTACTGTGGGCACTAGTCCACAGTGGCTAATGTAGACCCTCGTAGAAGGGTAGAAAATGAGAATGCCAACTGTATATTTCCACGCACCATAGGTGTAGTAGGCTACCTCAGTAGGTAGGGATGCGTTGCGGATGTCTTCGTTGGTCACAAACTGGTCTACGTACAGCTGGGCCTTGGAGGCCTTGAGGAAGGCCATGAGCCGAGCGGTGAACGATGCTACGAAGATAGACAACATGCCGAAGTCTAACACGTTCCACAGGTGATTCACGTACTCTCTAGGACCGTCCACCCAGATCTCCTTGACCTCCGACCAGATCATACCTGAGAGAGAGAGAGATTGAGAAAGAGAGAGAGAGAGAGAGAGAGAGAGAGAGAAGGGACAGAGAAACTAGCTGATGTTTATGTAATGATTGATCTTGTGTGTGGGTACCTGTCTCCCTCTCTCTCTTTCCCTCTCTTCCTATTTATTTCTCTCCATCCACCATCCTTTCCTTCTTTCTCTCTCTTAATCCATCCCCTCTCATTCTTCCTCTGACCTCCCTCATTTCCTCCCCTCTTGCCTCTATCCCCTTCTCTCCCTCACCCCTACTCACCCAGCACCCATTTCATGATGAGCATCTCAGTCCAGGAGAACTGAGTGGTCTTGACCCGGAACACCTGACGAGGGTGGTCAGTGATGGTCTCGTTGGGCAGGTTCTGGACCCCCTCGAAGCGGTCTGAGGCGTTGATGACCAGCAGGCCCAGGAAGATGGTGAAGGACACGGCGTGGGCCACAAACTTCATGAAAGGACTTCTCAGGATCTGACCCAACTAAGACAAACAGGGTAAAAAAAATACAACAGTTGTACTAGCCTTTCTTTACACTTAACTGATAGCTGCTTTATTTAGGAAAAGGTCTACTTACTATGACTGTGATGTGGATGTCTTGCCTAGCTGTCTTAAGATGAATGCACTATCTGTAAGTCACTCTGGATAAAAGTGTCTACTAAATTATTCAAATGTGTTTTATAAACTGGGTGGTTCGTTCCCTGAATGCTGATTGGCTGACAGCCGTGGTATATCAGACCATCTACCACGGGTATGACAAAACATGTATTTTTACTGCTCTAATTACGTTGGTAACCAGTTTATAACAGCAATTAGGCACCTCCTTGGTTTGTGGTATATGACCAATATACCACGTTGCGTCGTGCCTAGAAACAGCCCTTAGCCGGGGTATATTGGCCATATACCACAGTTGGTAGAGCATGGCGTTTGCAACGCCAGGGTTGTGGGTTCGATTCCCATGGCGGTATGAAAAATAAAAAAGTATGTATGCACTCACTAACTGTAAGTCGCTCTGGATAAGAGCGTCTGCTAAATGACTAAAATGTAAATGTAAATGTAACCACCGAGGTGCCTTATTGCTTAAATGTAATAGCACCATGTTAAACGTGTACATGATATTGCAAAGAAACAGTATCACTGTCAGGAGGTGTCATAATAAACTGACTTAGTGGAACAAGTGTGGACTATGGTATGGAACCTGAGGCTGAAAAACAAACCATATTCAGTTAAGACAGACTTAGGGTTTAGCTAAGTCAGACTTTGAGTCAGACTCAATACTCCTGTCAATTGAATAGAACATTTCTCCATTGGAGTGTAGCCAACAGAACTTCTATTTTATTGACCCTCCAGTAACCCATGTCCAGACATCAAAGTGTGAAGAGAAACATTAATTAATAATTCTGTACTAATCCTGGAGAATCAGACAAGTACAGATTGGTACACCAACACAAACACAGCTATGCTTCAGAGGGATGGGAGAGATAGGGATGAGACACACACCTTTACAAACACATGCAGATCGACACACTGAACATTTACAGTTCATTCGGAAAGTATTCAGATCCCTTGACTTTTCCCACATTTTGTTACGTTACAGGCTTATTCTAAAATGGATTGAACTGTTTCTTCCCCTCATCAATCTACACACAATACCCCATAATGACAAAGCAAAAACTGGTTTTTAGAACATTTTGCAAATGTATACAAAATTAAAAACTGAAATATCGCATTAAAATAAGTATTCAGACCTTTTACTCAGTATTTTGTTGAAGCACCTTTGGCAGCGATTACAGCCTCGAGTCTTCTTGGGTATGACGCAACAAGCTTGGCACACCTGTATTTGGGGAGTTTCTCCCATTCTTCTCTGCAGATCCTCTCAAGCTCTGTCAGGCTGGATGGGGAGCGTCGCAGCACAGCTATTTTCAGGTCTCTCCAGAGATGTTCGATCGGGTTCAAGTCCAGGCTCTGGCTGGGCCACTCAAGGATATTCAGACACTTGTCATGAAGCCACTCCTGTGTTGTCTTGGCTGTGTGCTTAGGGTCGCTGTCCTGTTGGAAGGTGAACCTTCACCCAAGTCTGAGGTCCTGAGCGCTCTGGAGCATCAAGGATCTCAATGTAATTTGCTCCGTTCATCTTTCCCTCGATCCTGACTAGTCTCCCAGTCCCTGCCACTGAAAAACATCACAACAGCATGATGCAGCCACCACCATGGTTCACCATAGGGATGGTGCCAGGTTTCCTCCAGACATGACGCTTGGCATTCAGGCCAAAGAGTTCAATCTTGGTTTCATCAGACCAGAGAATCTTGTTTCTCATGGTCTGAGAGTCTTTAGGTGCCTTTTGGCAAACTCCAAGCGGGCTTTCATGTGCCTTTTACTGAGGAGTGGCTTCCGTCTGGCCACTCTACCATAAAGGCCTGATTGGTGGAGTGCTGCAGAGATGGGTGTCCTTCTGGAAAGTTCTCCCATCTCTACATGGGAACTGATTGCTCAGTTTGGCCGGGCGGCCAGCTCTAGGAAGAGTGTTGGTGGTTCCAAACTTCTTCCATTTAAGAATGATGGAGGCCACTGTGTTCTTGGGGACCTTCAATGCTGCAAAAAATGTTTGATACCCTTCCCCAGATCTGTGCCTCGACACAATCCTGTCTCAGATCTCTACGAACAATTAATTTGTCCTTATGTCTTGGTTTTTGCTCTGACATGCACTGTCAACTGTGGGACCTTTTATACATGACAGGTGTGTGCCTTTCCAAATTATGTCCAATCAATTGAATTTACCACAGTTAGACTCCAATCAAGTTGTAGAAACATTTCAAGGATGGTCAATGGAAACAGGATGAACCTGAGCTCAATTTCGAGTCTCATAGCAAAGGGTATGAATACTTACAGTTGAAGTCAGAAGTTTACATACACCTTAGCCAAATACATTTAAACTCAGTTTTTCACAATTCCTGACATTTAATCCTAGCAAAAATGCCCTGTTTTAGGTCAGTTAGGATAACCACTTTATTTTAAGAATGTGAAATGTCAGAATAATAGTAGAGAGAATGATTTATTTAAGCTTTTATTTCCTTCATCACATTCCCAGTGGGTCAGAAGTTTACATACACTCAATTAGTATTTGGTAACATTGCCTTTAAATTGTTTAACTTGTGTCAAACGTTTCGGGTAGGCTTCCCACAATAATTTGGGTGAATTTTGGCCCATTCCTCCTGACAGAGCTGGTGTAACTGAATCAGGTTTGTAGGCCTCCTTGCTCGCACACGCTTTTTCAGTTCTGCCCACACATTTCTATAGGATTGAGGTCGGGGTTTTGTGATGGCCACTCCATCTATTTTGTGAAGTGCACCAGTCCCTCCTGCAGCAAAGCACCCCCACAGCATGATGCTGCTTCACGGTTGGGATGGTGTTCTTCGGCTTGCAAGCAACCCCCTTTTTCCTCCAAACATAACGATGGTCATTATGGTCAAACAGTTCTATTTTTGTTTCATCAGACCAGAGGACATTTCTCCAAAAAGTACAATCTTTGTCCCTATGTGTAGTTGCAAACCGTAGTCTGGCTTTTTTATGGCGGTTTTGGAGCAGTGGCTTCTTTCTTGCTGAGCGGCCTTTCAGGTTATGTCGATATAGGACTCGTTTTACTGTGGATATAGATACTTTTGTACCTGTTTCCTCCAGCATCTTCACAAGGTCCTTTGCTGTTGTTCTGGGATTGATTTGCACTTTTCGCACCAAAGCACGTTCATCTCTAGGAGACAGAATGCGTCTCCTTCCTGAGCGGTATGACGGCTGCGTGGTCCCATGGGGTTTATACTTGCGTACTATTGTTTGTACAGCTGAACGTGGTACCTTCAGGCGTTTGGAAATTTCTCCCAAGGATGAACCAGACTTGTAGAGGTCTACAATATTTTTTCTGAGGTCTTGGCTGATTTCTTTTGATTTTCCCATGATGTCAAACAAAGAAGCACTGAGTTTGAAGGTAGGCCTTGAAATACATCTACAGGTACACCTCCAATTGACTCAAATTATGTCAATTAGCCTATCAGAAGCTTCTACAGCCATGACATAATTTTCTGGAATTTTCCAAGCTGTTTAAAGGCACAGTCAACTTAGTGTATGTAAACTTCTGACCCACTGGAATTGTGATACAGTGAATTATAAGTGAAATAATCTGTCTGTAAACAATTGTTATAAAAATGACTTGTGTCATGCACAAAGTAGATGTCCTAACCGACTTGCCAAAGCTATAGTTTGTTAACCAGAAATGTGTGGAGTGATTGAAAAACAAGTTTTACTGACTCCAACCTAAGTGTATGTAAACTTCCGACTTCAACTGTTTGTAGATAAGGTTTTTCTGTTTTTAATTTTTTATAAATTAACAAAAATGTCTAAAAACCTGTTTTCGCTTTTTCATTATGGGGTATTGTGTGTAGATTGAGGAGGGATTTTTTAAAATTTAATCAATTTTAGAATAAAACGTAACAAAATGTGGAAAAAGGGAAGGGGTCTGAATACTTTCCGAATGCACTGTACATTCATAAATATGCACTCAAAACACAGGCACATATATTTGTGAATGTTACCATGCACATAAGTACAACCACAAATGTATTGGCCAGCTTGTTCATTTAACAGACAGCCATCGTGCTGTGTGTGTGTCCCACATACGTCAAGGGTGTTGTTCACCACATTTTTCTTCAATCATTTAGCAGACGCTCTTATCCAGAGCGACTTACAGAAGCAATTAGGGTTAACTGCCTTGCTCAAGAGCACCTTGTTGGGTTGGGGATTCGAACCAGCGACCTTTTGGTAACTGGCCCAATGCTCTAACTGCTAGGTTACCTGCCGCCACACACACTGCCATCTAAACCTAATCAATCATGTGTGTGTCTTTCCCATCTGTTTTCTCCGGACAGGAACATCCCAAATTGCACCATATTCTCATAATGAAATGGACTACTTTTGACCAGGTGCCACATGTCTCTTGTCAAACATAATGCACTATATAGGGAATAGGGTGCCATTTGGGACTCATCCACTGTTATTCTCAGCAGATTGAGGTGGGGAGAGATCCAGCTGTATTTCTCAGTGTTAAGGGGTGACTGGCCCCTGATAGGGGTGACTGGCCACTGGTAGGGGTGACTGGTCCCTGATATGCTCCTATTAAACATAATGATTACAGACATCATCAGCAGAGACCATCTCTGATCACCCCCTCAATCCACTCCCTCCATCCGTCTCTCTGTCTGTCTTTCTGTCGGACACCCTCAGTCTCCCTGTACATCTCTCCCTCCTTTTCCCTGAGTCTCTGTCCATTTCCTCTCCTTCTCTCTCTCGTTCCCTCTTATCCATCCTTCTTCACGCTCCTGTCACCATTCCTCTCTCTCCACAGTTAATTCCCCTTCTCTCATCCTCTTGGCTTGCTCTCTTTTCTTTCTATTTCCTTTCCTTTCTCTTTCTGTCAGAGGCTGTGCCAGTGTCAGAGAGGATGCTGGGAGGGACCTGCCAGTGGAGGTAAAGGTTAGTGTGATACTTACAGTATCTTCCTCCTGCTATAGGAGGATTAGACTCTCTAACTGTCTGTCTTCTGATTGGTTAGTAATCCTCTTACTGACAACAGCCCCTAGAACCCCCACAAGGATATTGCTGCTCCCACACTCCAGGTCTCAAACACACACACACACGCAAGCACACACACATACTTTGACACCCCCCCCCCCCCCCCCCCCCCCCCCCCCCCCCTGTTTGCGCAAGCATGTGTGTGTGTATACTGTAGGGGCGTCTGCCTGCGTCCATTACCTTGCTGCAGGGCATGATCCAGTAGGCGAGAGCCAGGAAGGGCAGTCCCAAGCTGACCCCCAGAACGGTCCAACACTTGACCCCGATGGACTGTTGCTTCAGACCTGACAGGTTCTCATACCAGATAGTCAGCAGCTGCTGCTGCAGTTAGGGGCATTTAGGTATGGGCCACAAACTACAGAAGTGAGGAGATAGAGAGAGAGAAGAATAGGTAAAGAGAGAGAGAGAGAGAAGAGAGAGAGAGAGAGAGAGAGAGAGAGAGAGAGAGAGAGAGAGAGAGAGAGAGAGAGAGAGAGAGAGAGAGATGAAAACACACTGGCCCACACTTACATAAAGACGGTTACTGTATATCAACAAAGCACACATTTCTTGCGCCTGCTGACAGGAAGTGTGGGTCAGTTCTTACTCCTGCTGACAGGAAGTGTGGGCCAGTTCTTGCTCCTCCTGACAGTAAGTGTGAGCCATGAACTGTATAAAATAATTAAAACTACAGTCAGATAGCTACAGCAATAAAACAAGCCAAGAATAAAGATTCACTCTGTCAGTTCCCTGCAGTGCATTCAAGTTGGATACAAATCACAAACATTTGCTTGCTTTTAAAATAATTTTCTTGAAGAGCTAAACAGGAAAAGTCTGCTCTTTAAATGGACCTGTTCTTCCTGTCAGCTATTCTCCATCTGTAATGACTAATAATAATTCATCATTTAGAGGGTGCTAATATTTGTCCTATTTAACACATGCACAAGTGTGTATAATTAAATAATATTTGTGAATTGGAAATGTATTTTTTTGTATATCTGAACTCTCCCTGAGACACCCTCGAAGTGTGTGTGTGTGTGTACGTGTGCGTGTGTGTGTGTGTGTGTATGTGTGTCCCCCTCAGTTTACGCACTAGTATCTGGGGCCACCTGGTTGTCATGGCAACCCATCCTCCCCCTAGTCTGGCAGGTTGATTAACACACTGCTGTGGTCACGCACCCCTGCTTTGGGAAAACAGTCCATGCACTACACTTTACTGTGTCCCTGGATGCTTACAGACAGGCTGGAGTCTACATTATTATGGCTTAGATGATATGGTGGTACTAATGTCTCACAATGTTTCCATATAGGATGCTCGACTATAAGGTCAGATAAACTTGTATACCTTTATTGTTGAAATGTGTGTGTATGACTGTGTGTGTGTGTTTGTGTGTGTGTCAGTCTCTGTGAGTCCCAGGTGATGTAGGGAGAGGTGACGTGGTTTGACATTTAGCTGAAACACCTCTGGTATGAGAGGGATTAGCACTCTGAGACAGAGACTCGATAGGTCTGATATTTACAAACGCTACCAGGCCTCGGGACACACACTTGCACACATGCATGCATGCACACACACACACACACACACACACACACACACACGCACACACTCTCACACGCATGCACACAAACACACACATGCATGCACACAGACACGCACACACACACATAAATGTGTGTACTGCATCACTGCTGCAACACTACATCACTGATCGAATGCTTTCCCTGAATTATCTAGATTGAACCTAAATAAACATTTTCGACTCAGATTATACCAGTTAACAATAAGGTCAAACACACAAATGCGGTCAAATGCTACATGTACAATCAATGCTATCAGATAAATACTGCCATGTAAACTAAACCAAAACTAACGTTGGTCATTTACAGCAGTGTCAAGCAATGCGGTCATGTTGCGGTCCTGGTTGGGCTGTCTCACCTTCTTGACGTCGTATTTGATGGCCAGTTTGACGCGTTCGAGGCAGGGCCGGTTGTTGTCGCTGGGCGGGGCATTGTCCACGTCTCCGTTCAAGATGGCTTCCACCTCCTCTGTGTCTCTGCACTGGTCCAACACCCCCACGACAAAGTCCTTACACTGCATGGACAACTTCCTGTAGTCATTCTATGGAGAGAGAGGAAGGGAGGGGAGAGGGTGAATGGTGGGAGGATGGAGATAGAAGTGGAGAAAGGGACACATGGAGATAGCAAGGATGGAAAGAGAGGAGAGAAAAGGGGAGAGAGAATGAAAGAGAGATTGTAATGCCTATGGTCAATTTGGTTTGACATCTGATATCCCTATGGGGATAGTTAGGGACCATCAGTAAATGACACAATGTACATGGGACAATATTTTTAAATAGCTCCAAATTTCAATGACTTAAAAACCTCTAACCAACTATAAATTGTAAAAATTAATGTCCAATTATTGAAAGCATTAAATGAGACAACTAAAAGATGTGCAACATGAAAATATTGCTCCATGTACACTGTGCAATTTATTGACGATACCTAACTAGCCCCATTGATAGGCTATCCAAAGTCAAACCAACTTTGCCACGGTCGCACACCGGGTGGCTGAAACTAATTGGCGAAAGAAGTTGACTAGCTTCCTAGCTAGCCTAGGCTACTTCCAGAAACAAGACCTGGTTAGACTGTTTCTAGAAGAGGGAGTGACTAATTGTGTTCCGTTTTGGCATAGTGAAAGTACAAACGCTTCCCAAGTTAGAACACACACACACAAGAGACACCCACATCAAAGCACGGCCCCAAGACTCAAATCTTGCTCTCAGTCGCATTTCCTAATGAGGAGAATTGAAACCGAGGCTAAATCAGGAAGTTCAGCCCCCCTTAAAAGGAACATAAGATAAGGAGAAGAGAGAGATGAGAGGTATAATGTTCCTGTGGAGGGAGAGAAGAGAGAGATGAGAGGTAGAATGTTCCTGTAGAACTAGTGTTTGTATAATGATTTGATTAGCCATTGGAAGCTCAGGTGCAGCTCTGGAGACAACTTCATAGCTTTCAGCTCTGACACCACACTCCCCTCTCCTTCTCTCTCATACCTTCATATTTTGCCCTCTCTCTGTCACATCTTTTTATTCATTTTCCAAACACTCCCTCTCCCTAAAACCTTAATTTCTCTTCCTGTATCTCTTCCTTTCTCATTCTCATATTTATCTTCCTCGTTCATCCATTCACCCCTCCCTCCTTCTTCCATCCTTCCATACTCCCCCCTCCGTATGTGCTCCCTTGAACCCCACAAAGCTCTGCAGGACAGTGCCTAAGGCCCCTCAGATATGCTAACACACACATAAACACTCATAAACAAACAACCACACACACAAATTCATGCTTGACACATGCACGCACACCCACGCGTGTGGACATGCACGTACAATTGAAGTCGGAAGTTTACATACACTTAGGTTGGAGTCAGTAAAACTTGTTTTTCAATCACTCCACACATTTCTGGTTAACAAACTATAGCTTTGGCAAGTCGGTTAGGACATCTACTTTGTGCATGGCACAAGTCATTTTTCCAACAATCGTTTACAGACAGATTATTTCACTTACAATTCACTGTATCACAATTCCAGTGGGTCAGAAGTTTACATACACTAAGTTGACTGTGCCTTTAAACATCTTGGAAAATTCCAGAAAATGATGTCATGGCTGTAGAATATTCTGATAGGCTAATTGACATAATTTGAGTCAGGTGTACCTGTGGACGTATTTCAAGGCCTACCTTCAAACTCAGTGCTTCTTTGCTTGACATCATGGTAAAATCAAAAGAAATCAGCCAATATTGTAGACCTCCACAAGTCTGGTTCATCCTTGGGAGCAATTTCCAAATGCCTGAAGGTACCACGTTCAGCTGTACAAACAATAGTACCCCAGTATAAACACCATGGGACCACGCAGCCGTCATACCACTCAGGAAGGAGATGCGTTCTGTCTCCTAGAGATTAACGTACTTTGGTGCGAAAAGTGCAAATCAATCCCAGAACAACAGCAAAGGACCTTGTGAAGATGCTGGAGGAAACAGGTACAAAAGTATCTATATCCACAGTAAAACGAGTCCTATATCGACATAACCTGAAAGCCCGCTCAGCAAGGAAGAAGCCACTGCTCCAAAACCGCCATAAAAAAGCCAGACTACGGTTTGCAACTACACATAGGAACAAAGATTGTACTTTTTGGAGAAATGTCCTCTGGTCTGATGAAACAAAAATAGAACTGTTTGGCCATAATGACCATCGTTATGTTTGGAGGAAAAAGGGGGTTGCTTGCAAGCCGAAGAACACCATCCCAACCGTGAAGCACGGGGGTGGCAGCATCATGCTGTGGGGGTGCTTTGATGCAGGAGGGACTGGTGCACTTCACAAAATAGATGGTATCATGAGGAAGGAAAATTATGTGGATATATTGAAGCAACATCTCAAGACATCAGTCAGGAAGTTAAAGCTTGGTCACAAATGGGTCTTCCAAATGTACAATGAACCCAAGCATACTTCCAAAGTTGTGGCAAAATGGCTTAAGGACAACAAAGTCAAGGTATTGGAGTGGCCATCACAAAGCCCCGACCTCAATCCTATAGAAAATTTGTGGGCAGAAACTGAAAAAGCGTGTGCGAGCAAGGAGGCCTACAAACCTGACTCAGTTACACCAGCTCTGTCAGGAGGAATGGGCCAAAATTCACCCAACTTATTGTGGGAAGCTTGTGGAAGGCTACCCGAAACGTTTGACCCAAGTTAAACAATTTAAAGGCAATGTTACCAAATATTAATTGAGTGTATGTAAACTTCTGACCCACTGGGAATGTGATGAAGGAAATAAAAGCTGCAATAAATCATTCTCTCTACTATTATTCTGACATTTCACATTCTTAAAATAAAGTGGTGATCCTAACTGACCTAAAACAGGGAATTTTAACTAGGATTAAATGTCAGGAATTGTGAAAAACTGAGTTTAAATGTATTTGGCTAAGGTGTATGTAAACTTCCGACTTCAACTGTAAGTGCACACAACCAAGAATCCGTCAGTGTCTTTCATTTGCACGAGAACATACCAAATCTGCCAACCCATGTCTCCAGGACAAGTCAAAGTGGTTTGTAGAGCTAAATGTTGACAGAGACTGAAATGCATATTTTGGACAGGCTTTCTTCTTTTCACTCTGTCAATTAGGTTAGTATTGTAGAGTAACTACAATGTTGTTGATCCATCCTCAGTGTTCTCCTATCACATTAATTAAACTCTGTAACTGTTTTAAAGTCACCATGGGCCTCATGGTGAAATCCCTGAGCGGTTTCCTTCCTCTCAGGCAAAGGAAGGACGCCTGTATCTTTGTAGTGACTGGGTGTATTGATACACCATCCAAAGTGTAATTAATAACTTCACCATGCTCAAAAGAATGTTCAATGGCTTTTTTTATGTCTACCCATCTACCAATAGGTGCCCTTCCTTGCGAGGCATTGGAAAACCTCCCTGGTCTTTGTGGTTGAATCTGTGTTTGAAATTCACTGCTTGACTGAGGGAACTTACAGATCATTGTATGTGTGGAGTAGAGAGATGAGGTAGTCATTCAAAAATACTATTAAACATTATTACTGTACACAGAGAGAGTCCATGCAACTTATTATGTGACTTGTTAAGCACATATTTAATACTGAACTTATTTTGTCTTGCCATAACAAAGGGGTTGAATACTTATTCTGAATTAATTCCACTTTGACATTATGGGTTATTGTGTGTAGGCCAGTGACAAAACATCTACATGTAATCCATTTTCAATTCAAGCTGTAACACAACAAAATGTGGAAAAAGTCAAGGTGTGTGAATACTTTCTGAAGGACTGTATCTATGAACTCTGTTCTGCACACCGCATCAAGACATCTCTGAACTGTACTCTGAATAATTGCACTATACTGCATTGCACTCTGTCCATCTCTCTGCGTTTAGATATGTTGGTACTGATAGTGTACATCTGTACATCCACTGTATATCAACTGTATAATCCACTGTATATCAACTGTTGATATAACGTATTTTTATACAGTATTGGTTAATGTCGTTGATCTCATATAGAGAGGATAAGGACAGGCCATGTGTTAGTTATGTCACTGGTGGGTGACAGAAGGTCTGCGTGCCAAGATAGATTGGGGGCCACTGGTGCTAATCTTACATTTACATTTAAGTCATTTAGCAGACGCTCTTATCCAGAGCGACTTACAAATTGGATCTTAGAAGGAGTACGTGATGGAATGGCCTGGCTAGGGTGCCACACGATACCATGTAGGGGTTATCCTATTGTAGGAGATGAGTGGCACTCAATAATGGTTGGCAACTGTTGGATGGAATTAGCTCCAAAAGCATTATATAAACTGAGAGGTTTTCTATGTAAAGTCATTTGGATGACAAGAGGCTACGCCTGTACCGCTTGTCATGTGAATCCAGTACTGTAACCATTAAATAACTATGAATCAACTGTCCTTCTAAGTGTTCAACTACTCTCTTGCATCCTGAACTTCTCGATACCAGAGAAACTCATCATAACAACTGTATAATCCACTGTATATCAACTGTATAATCCACTGTGTATTTGTATATCTGCTCATTCTCTTATAGCTCTATGCTCACTCTACCTATTTGTATATAATGTATGTAAACTTTGTGTATACTCCTCTTTCTGTATTGTGTCTCTAAATGGTGTCTATCACTAGCAGCACCATATCACCAAGTACAAGTCTGAGTATGTTGTCTATCCCGAGTGGCGCAGTGGTCTAAGGCCACTAGAGATCCTGGTTCGAGTCCAGGCTCTGTAGCAGCCGGCTGCAACCGGGAGACCCATGGGCGGCGCACAATTGGTCCAGCGTCGTCCAAGGTAGGGGAGGGTTTGGCCGGCAGGGATGTGGGTTCGTTTCCCACGGGGGGGGGGCAGTATGAAAAAAAACTAAAAAATGTATGCATTCACTAACTGTAAGTCGCTCTGGATAAGAGCGTCTGCTAAATGACTGAAATGTAAATGTACACTAGCAGCACCATATCACCAAGTACAAGTCTGAGTATGTGTAAATGTACTTTGCGGATAAAGGTGGTTCTGATTCATTTCCTGTGTGTTTCCAAGTACAAGTCTGAGTATGTGTAAATGTACTTTGCGGATAAAGGTGGTTCTGATTCATTTCCTGTGTGTTTCCTGTCCTTTCCAGGGGCATAATAGGAGAGTGATTGGTCTGGGGACAGACAGTGCCAAACTCATGTAAGATGAATGTGGGACTTTTTACAAATGATCTAAGATCAGATTCACAGCATCAAAATGAACACACATTATGACCCTAGTCTTACCTCTACCATAGACACATTGTCTGCTAACATCTCTAACACTGTGTGCTGTTGCTATCACTTTAACCCACTTGGACAATACATGACACTGTGTCAACATCACCCGGGGCAACAGGGCAGATACTGCACATAACCACACAAACATTGCAGAGGGCAATGACATCACTGGTGGCAACAACAACAATGATAAAGCCCACAGGGACTTCACCTGTTAGATTAGTCATGTCCTTCCTTTCAGAGAGATAGAGGGTAGAGAGCGTTAGAGAGATGCAAAGTTAGAGTTAGAGGGAAGCCAGAGGGAGAGAGAGAGAGGGCGAGAGAGGGAGGAAAGACCCACAAAGAATTCGAAAACAAACCCAATTTTGATAAACTCCCTTATCTACTGGGTGAAAAACCACAGTGTGCCATCACAGCAGCAAGATTTGTGACCTGTTGCCACAAGAAAAGGGAAACCAGTGAAGAACAATCACCATTGTAAATACAACCCATATTTATGTTTATTTATTTTCCCTTTTGTACTTTAACTATTTGTACATCGTTACAACACCATATACAGACATAATATGACATTTGAAATGTCTCTATTCCTTTGGCACTATTGTGAGTGTAATGTTTACTGTTCATTTTTTATTATTTATTTCCCTTTTGTTACTTATCTATTTCACTTGCTTTGGTAATGTAAACATATGTTTCCTATGCCAATAAAGCCCTTTGAATTGAGAGGGAGAGAATGATAGAGGGCGAGAGGGAGAAGGTGATAATGAATGTGTAATGAGAGAGATGGAGGGTAATAGAACTAAGCCCCCCCCAGGTGACTATTTCTCATTTACACTTCTGGGAAGCAGACAGACAGACAGACAGACAGACAGACAGACAGACAGACAGACAGACAGACAGACAGACAGCTCCAGTCACGACAAATGCCAACCGACGCACCCTGGCTGTATATCCCACACTGCAACATCTATTTTCAAGACCAAATTGTGTGCTGTTAACACGTTAACGTGTGTATGTTTGTGCACACGTGTGTGTGTGAGTGCATGTAGTATAACTTATGATTGTTAGACTGTGTATGTATGTGTGTGTGTGTAGAAGTAGTCAGAGAGAAAAGCAAACCAGCCTCAGTCCTGAGCCAAAGCTGCTAAGACTCCTAGCAGATAAATTCAATCATTACAGCAGATGATGGAGCAACAAATCCTCACTGGCAATACATGAACACTCACTCACTCACTCTCAGTAGTTTGTGGCCCATCCTAACTGCCAGCAGCAGCTGCTGACTATCTGGTATGAGAACCTGGCTACCTTTCTTCAGTTACCTATCTCTTCTCATCCTATAATAGAAAGAATCCGAAGAGTCAAACATCCATCTATAACGATACAAAGTCATTATCTCGCCATCACTCTCACTCATCACACCACAAATCAAAATCCACAACAACCCCACCCACCACAACTCTAACTCATATCTCGCTCTCTCTCTCTCTCTGTCTCTCTGTCTATCTGTCTCTCTTCTCTCTCTCTCGCATCTCTCTCATCTCTCTCATATCTCTCTCTCTCTCGTTATGTGTTCCATCATCTCTCACCTTAAACTCAGTCTCTATGTTAGCCAGTCTGGCCAGTTCGTTGCTGAGCTCCAGGGCGGTGAATACAGGGTCTTCACTAGACAGGGACAGGTAGGCAGCACTGGCCAGCCCTTTATAAGCGTTCATCCTGGAGCGCGAATGGCTGAACGAGTCTCTCCTCTGCTTCTCTGCACACTCATTGCACTTACAGAAGTAGTCATGAGGCCTCTCGATGCGAGCCCCCTTGGTGAGCAGGATATGTACAATCTCAAACTCCTGACAATGTGCTGCTAGGATTACAGGGGTGACGTCGAGGGAAAAGCGAGTCCCGTCTTCGTCGTAAGCGTAAAAATCGTCATCCCGTAGCTCCTGTTCAAGGGGACTCAGGGTGAGCCGCAGCCCTTGGCTAAACGCCGGGTTCCCCAATATGGCTTCCACGATACGCACATACCCTTTTGAGATAGCCAATAGGAGCCCGTCACCCACTCTGGCTAGCCCCTCCTTCTTTAGCAGCAACTCAGTCACTTCCAGGTGCTCGTTTCCCACCGCCAGCTGCAATGCATTCTGGCCCATGTAGTCCACACAGTTGAAGTTGAGGGTCTTGGACTCCTCCAGCATCTTGCGGACCACTGGGATATTGCCGTACTCAGCGGCGTCAAGGAAACCCTCTTCCTCAGGCGTCAGTGCCGAGCCGCGCTCGTTAAACATGTAGGCGGGGCCTCGCACGGCTTGGCGACGCCCCTTCTCCCGCACCGTGGTGTGTCTCCGGTGCATGGCTTCCACTCTAGAGAAGGGGGAGGAGGGAGGGAGACAGGGAGAGAGAAAAGGTTAAGCAAGGGGTAGCCCTTTCCTGCAGTCAACGACAAAAGCGCCCTCTTTGGCCTCATGGATGGAATGTTATTAATATTTTTCACAATTTCATCGTTATTAACGTTTTTGGCAACCTGATTTTGGCCAAAATTACCTGGAAAGATTCCTACTACCAAAGATTCTTATTTCCAAGCTATACAGCACTGGCAAACAAACAACAGAAACCTGAAAACCCCATCCAACATGGAACTGAGTGAGTAATGTTTAGTCTGAAGCTATTTTTAAAGCCAATAAGACAAATACATTACAATTATATATTTTACTTATAAGGACTGAATGCTAAGTTAAGTCTACCAAGCTTGCTAGGCAGTACATTTTGGACTGCAACTTCAATTAGCACTGAGGTGTGAAGTGAGAGGTGTTAAAGCCCTTGAGCCCAGCAATGGTAGGAGAGTTCCACAGCCTACCCCACCCAAATGCAGAGGCCTTTGAAGCCCCCTCCCGCTGCACAGAGATTATTAGCATACAGTACCCTCTGGATGTAAAACAGAGGCTACGAAACCCCTACCTGTCCCAGACCTGCTGTTTTCAACTCTTAATGATCGGCTATGAAAAGCCAACTGAGAGACCTGAGCCCTAGGACCATACGTCGGGACTACCGGCCGTGGTGACTCCTTGCTGTCCCCAGTCCGCCTGGCCTTGCTGCTATTCCAGTTTAAACTGTTCTGCCTGCGGTTATGGAACCCCTACCTGTCCCAGACCTGCTGTTTTCAACTCTTAATGATCGGCTATGAAAAGCCAACTGAGATTTATTCCTGATTATTATTTGACCATGCTTGTCACTTATGAACATTTTTGAACATCTTGGCATGGTTCTGTTATAATCTCCACCCGGCACAGCCAGAAGAGGACTGGCCACCCCTCATAGCCTGGTTCCTCTCTAGGTTTCTTCCTAGGTTTTGCCTTTCTAGGGAGTTTTTCCTTGCCACCGTGCTTCTACACCTGCATTACTAGCTGTTTGGGGTTTTAGGCTGGGTTTCTGTACAGCACTTCGAGATATTAGCTGATGTAAGAAGGGCTATATAAAATAAAATTGATTGAAATTGATTGATGACAAGGCACGAAAAGAGTACAAAAAGAAGCTCCTTATGGAAAATCAAGAGACACTTTTTGCTGACTATTATAAAAATGGGAACATAAGCAACTTAATCTTCCACACAGACCATGCCCTGGCATGGCACAGTGCTATATTAACACACTACCCCTCTGATACCAAGATGGCGTAGTAGTGCGGTCGTGTATTGTGTTGTGTCCTCGTGTAAATAGCCAGTTTTTTTTTTGTCTTATATTCGTATATATTTCTCTATCTCACTTTCCATCCTTTAACTAAATATACTTTGCTGCAACCCGCCTCACCCAATGTGGAACGTTTTCTATTATTTCTTTATTTTTATCAAGAACCTACGGCTGAAACTAGCCAGCTAGCCAGCTAACTAGCTACTTGCTATTAGCCACCGTTAGCGGTCTTCACCACTGTCCGTGGCCTGCACTACCTACCAGCCAGCTCTAGCCTGGACAATTATCGGCCAGTCAGCACAGCGTGCAATCGACCCAGAGCATATCGGATTTTCTGCCGGAATCACTGAATCACTGGACCTTAACACCGGACCATCGCAACTAGCTAGCTGCAACCGAATGGCTGTTGTTGGCTAATCACCACTTCCCGACGTACCAGTTAGCCTTGAGCTAGCCTCGAGCCAGGCCCATCTCCCGGCTATCTACCTCTCTGTCAACCGGACGGGACCTCCTAATGTCGACACGGAGCCCCGCCGATCCATCACGACTGGTCTGCCGACGTAATCATCTGATGTGGTTTCAACAGGCTTCCCGTTGCGACGACCACGAAGATCCATCTGCTAGCCCCGGCCCTCTAGAACGCGCAATCAACAGCCGTGCCTCCTGCTCGCCTGTGCTTTAGCAGCCTACGATCTGCTCCCGGACTTACTTAGTGCTGTTCACTGGACCTTATGATCACTCAGCTACACAGCTAATGTCTGCTGGACTGTTCCTTTACACGGTACCCCATCCTGTTTATCTGTTTAGCCTCAGCCCAAACTTTCGTTGCCATTACCAGTCTTAGCCCTCTCGAATAACACCTGTGATTGCGTTATGCTTCTCTCCCATGTCAATATGCCTAGCCTATTGCTGTTTGGGTTAGTTCTTATTATACAATTTCACTGTAGAGCCCCAAGTTCAGCTCAACCAGCCTCAGAGAGCACCTTTGTCCCACCCCCTATACACGCGGAGACCGTCTCAATCAGTACCTCCAGTGATGCTATCTCTTTCATAGTTACTCAATGCTTAGGTGTACCTCCACTGTACTCATATCCTTCCATATCCTTGTCTCTACATAATGCCCTGAATCTATTCTACAATGCTCGGAAATCTGCCCCTTTTCTCTGTACCCAACGCACTAGAAGACCAGTTCTTAAAGCCTTTAGCCGTATCCTTATTCTATTCCTCCTATGTTCCTCTGGTGATGTAGAGGTTAACCCAGGCCCTGTAGCCCCAAGTATAACTCCTACCCCCCAGGCGCTATCATTTGTTGACTTCTGTAACCGTAAAAGCCTTGGTTTCTTGCATGTTAACATCATAAGTCTCCTCCCCAAGTTTGAGTTATTCACTGCGTTAGCACACTCTGCCAACCCTGATGTTCTAGCAGTGTCTGAATCTTGGCTTAGGAAAGCCACCAAAAATTCAGAAATGTCCATGTTGCCACTTGCTACAGACCCCCCTCAGCCCCCAGTTGTGCCTGGACACCATACGTGAATTGCTTGCCCCCCATCTATCCTCAGAGTTCGTACTGCTTGGTGACCTAAACTGGGATATGCTTAACACCCCAGCCATCCTACAATCTAAACTAGATGCCCTCAATCTCACACAAATTATCAAGGAACCTACCAGGTACAACCCTAAATCCGTAAACATGGGCACCCTCATAGATATCATCCTGACTGTTATGATGAATTTCTGGTATTAAGAAGTTCAAGATGTAAGAATTTACTTAGATATTCTGTGGAGATTTTACCAAGCATTTATTTGATCACGAGCCTGTGGGTTCATCTAACAAACAGACATAGCCTTGCCCCCTTGTCAGTTGCACTGCCCACATACACAAATCTCACATCTTTTATACTCTTGGTTACACATTTCCTCAACCACATCTGGCCATCATCAATGAGCACTACACCTTCTATGTCATGACCTCTTACCCCCAAGCAGGACGTTCCCTCCGAACATCATTCTAATATAAACCCCACTATCTTCCTTGGACAGATTGGAATTTACTACCCCAAACTTAGTCACCCAGAACCACTTCTCTCTACTAACTTTAAACTAGTTACACACTCATATGAAATGTCTCATACCCTCATCATATCAATCCATATTTTTTTATGTCTATGGTAAGTAACAATTCATTAAATATAACATTACTTAACCCCCAACACTTCACATAAAATTCACATAAAATCAAATGTTCTCCAATCAGTAGTATACATATATGATTAGATTCTTAACTATGCTAGATAACTGACCCATCATCTTATACATGCTACCAAGAAAACATTCATAGAAATAAATTGTAACCATAATGACATCATCCCCACAAATACAAAGATACATAACCATTACTAAGTTACATGTATATTATAATATATTCAAATGAATATATCAAAATAAAATAACTTCAATCTTCTTCATCCATCTTCAATACAGATGAACCCCAAGCTTTTCTCTGGTCACTCGGGGCGCTATCTGATCTACTGAGATAGACTTCTTTCCACATCTTCAATCCTGTAAACCTCATTCCACTTTATACATTTCCAACTTAACATTCCTCATTCCTCAATCAACATTATCAATGTACTCTAACCTGGAATAACGTATAAATGAATAATTTATCCTTTCTCTCCTTGCATTTATACTGACTGATACATCTCTATTCATACTCCTAATACCTTCCTATATGTCTCTAATATTCCCCATAGCTTTATTTAAATTCCCAATACCTTCCTAATCTTAAAGTCCAACATGTATCCCCCATATAATCACATACATTCCCTCTTTATCTACTATAATAGCATCCAATGCTATGTGATTATCACTTACATAGTCTAATGAGTAACATCTACGACCCAATTGCTTAAAAATCCAAGATTGTTAAAAGATACAATGTTCAACTCCGACTTTAATCTCCTATTATTCCTGATATGACATACACATTATAACACTATATTTTCACTCCCTGTTAAATCATTACATCCCTAAACTATTCATGCTTTAAAAATTCTACCAAAATCAGATCATATGAAAATATCATAACCCCATGATAATAACCAATTAAGTACTTGCCTAGCAACATAGATATTTACCACTCTAAACATCCATATCAATATCACCCAATACTTCAAATGTATATAATGACTAATATGCTAATACGTTAACTCAATTAATCAACATATTCATGATTTCATTCACGATCCTCACCTTAACTTCCATGTTTCAAACAGTATGATAAAAAAATGTCTACTCAAAATAAATCATATAAGTGTATCCTAAGATATTACCATATTGTATCACTGTTTTTAACCCATAATATCTATATAAAACAGTTCTATACTAATACATACTAATGATTCACTTAAATCACTCATTCATCTTATAAATTATAACCAACCAAATTACTTAACTCAACCAAATTTAAAATGACAATCCTTATTGATTCACTTTATCTTTAACAATGACAATTAAAACCCTCAACTTTATCACCCATTACAACTGTCAGAATTTACACTTATATTAACATACATTATAAACATCCATAATTCAATTATGACCTTCCTCATCCTGATAATAAATACAGATCATTATCTCAATGCATTCTTAATACTATTAATTTAGCA